TAGTATCGTCAAATTTAGATATTAAAATGAGTGTGAATTATGATCGTGTATTGCGAAATGCCGCATCACCGAATCTACTGAATTTACTGAATAAAGCTGTAAAGGTTAAACGATCATCTGCAAAAGAATGTTTGGAACAATTAGTCACGAAGAAAAATATCGTCTGCGTAGCATATTCGTCACATGCTAAATTTTTATTACGTGATGCCAATGACAAGTGTCTTGTACCAAAAGTGAAACTTTTGGAAAATCATTATCTCTCTTATTCTTTAAGTCAAACAGTTTTACCTCCAAGATCTCCTTATGTGAGGAGGATTAACAGTATATTGCTAAAATTTATCCAATCTGGAATTACTGAAAAATGGAAATCTCTACATAATAAGATGAGAATGTCTAAAAGTGCTGTCATGAGTTCTCACTGTTTTAACAAAAATGAAGAATCACAACAAATATTGAAACAAATTTTTGTCATTCTTATCGTTGGATATTCATTTTCAATTTTAATATTTTTTGCAGAAATTTTTGTTTTCTGTAGATAAGTACTTACTTGCACTGAGAAAAAAAATTTAGTGTTTGCAACAAAATTGTTTGATTAGGCAATTTTGGTTCTTGTAACCAAATTTTGGTTGGCTGAAACAAAGTCGTAGAGTTATCTCAACCAAACATATGGTTAGGCCAACAAAATTATTTGGTTGAACATTTTTAAATTCCAACCAAAATTCGGTTACGACAACAAAATAATTTGGTTAACACAACAAAATAATTTGGTCTAGAAAACCAAATGATGGTTTGTTATCCTAACCAAAATTTAGTTGCGACAACCAAATAATTTGATTCGTTCTCAGCTCAAAGCTTAAGAGAACAGTTAGTTTAAATCTCTCACAAGGATGGGTAGTCCAATGGTCAGAGCTCCCGATCTTCAGTTTTAAAACAGAGGATCGATCCCAGGCAGAGATGAGATTTTTCAAAGACCACAAATATTTTAATTGAATAAATATAAATTCAATGTTAAATTGATACTAAATAAATAATGAAAAAAGATAAAAATAAAAGAAATAAGGTAGAATAAAATTTTTAATTTTACAAAAAAAAACTGTTTGTTTGATCAACCAAACATTTTTGTTGACCTAACAAAAAAAATTTGGTTGAGCTAACCAAACATTTTTGTTATGCCAACAAAAAACACTCAACTAAATTTTTTGGTTGACTCAAACAAATAGTTTGGTTGCTTAAATACCAACAAAATTTTTTTGTTGGACCAACCAAATTTTGGTTGCTCTGACTAAACATTTTTCTCAGTGTGAAACGTAAAATTGTTTCACCAATTAAAAATTTTTATTATCATTTAAATATTTAATTTTTATATTTATTTTTCAGTTAAAAAAAAATTAATTTAGTTCCACAGAAGAGGATTTTAATAAATCCACTGTTTTCCATTCATGTAAATTTCATAATTTAGAAAAGTTAATTTTTATACCTAATCTAGAGAATTTAACATACGCCTCGTTTTGCAAACGTCACACTCGTATAATCACTCACTTTACGCACTTGTATCATAAATAACTGTTTTCAGTGTATTATTGAAATTTTTATCAGAGCCCAAATCTTAGTTTTAAATATTTGCTTACACTCTACGTTCATTTTCAGAGATAGCTTGTGTTTCAATCTCACATTAATCGTTTAATTTAGAAATTAAATTTTTTTTCACCATAAACTGATATTGTATTTAAAGTTTATTGTATTTGTATAAGTTTTCAAAATAAAAATATTATAAATGTTAAGAATAAAGAATAATTTCATCTTTTAGCCAATTTTAAAAAAAAGTCTTGCGAAATGGGATTTTCTGTGAATTCCAACATTAGAGATCTCTCTGAGTATTTTCTAACAAAAATTAAAATAATCCATCGGGCTGTTTAAAAAAAAAATTAACTTTTAGTATTTCGATCATGAATACTGTATACAAGCACCTTAGAAAAACGTACTAAATCAAATTTCATATCAATATCCATAACTACTTTATAGTATTTTGGATCGCAGAATCTGAATTTGATATTAGATTTAAGAAATTCAAAATGGTGGATCCAATATGGCGTCAAAAAGTATAAAAATTGTCCAGATTTGCTTGAAAATCAATACTCGGGGGTTTTCAGGGTCGCTGAATCTGAATTCAATGTCAATTTTAAAAAATTATAAATGGCGGATCCAATATGGCGAACAAATTTTTTTAAATAATCTAGATTCGCTTGAAAGTCATTACTTGGGGGTTTTTGAGGTCGCATTTTTTAAAAAAATTCTACGTAATTTTATTTAAATATTTCTTTCATTTGAACGTTCAGAACTTTTGGCTCATAATAATAGTCTAATTTTATTTGAATGAAATAAATTTTTCTCAGCATATTCCATTGGTATATGTATACATACAAATATAGTTAGTTTGAGACGTGTATAGGTAAATAAATACAAGGCAAGTAAAAAAAAAAAAAACAGAATCTCTGGTATTTTCAACGAAAGAAATAAGGAGGAATTTGTATTTAACGCACTTTGTAAAATGTATAATTGCTTTTTCGCTATTCTTTGGAAAATGAGTTAACGGCACCCTGTCTTTGCAGTGGTTTTAAAGATATATATATATATACCAGTGAAGTATATTATGTTGGTTCACATGCAGGTGCGTATATAATCAACTTACAGTTCAAAAGTGGGACCCTGCTGTTTCCCTAGGGGCCCCAAACCCGCAATGTGGGACCGGTTTTTCTCTCCACTCACATACGTTTCGATCTCTTTTTTTTTTTGCCTGTTTTTGTAAGTCCCCTGGTCTTGCTTTCTCTATTGGGCCTCTAATAGTTATGTGGTCCCGTCAAAGCTTGCCGCCTCTTGTTACTTCTAACACCCACCTCTTCCCTTATGTTCTCATATATAATATACATATATATTCTCCTTCTCTCAGGAGCGTAGACTCTTATTGAATTGAATATACAATATATAAATTCTTTGACCTCTTTATAAAAACACGTAAACTATTATATTTTCCATTCAATATTTATATAGCATTTATAATATATGAATAATATATATATATATATATGTACTTGACTACTATTTATATATAAGAAAAGACATGTCAACAAATTTATTTTCTCATGAAAAATAATATATTTCTTTACTTCTTTTTTAGGTTTTCTTGTGTTATCACTTTTTAGAATGAAAGTCATTTTTGGTACCAGAGTCTAGAGGAATTTCTTTACATTTATATAATTAATTTATTTATAATACCTATTATTAATTTTTAATTATTCATTATTTCTTTAAATATGCATTTTTTAAAAATAAATTTTTTTTTGACAAAATATTAATACTCTGTCAATCGACAGTCATTACACAGTATGTAATGACAGTTCACTGAATATTCCCCTTTAAGCACAACAACTATAAACTGAAACATGTCTTTGTAAAATTAATTAGTTTAAAGTTATTTCCTTAAATACAATAATAATTAAATGACCTATGTGTCCTAAATAGGTCGATCTATCGAAAAAAAGTGCATCAACGATTTTGACGTGGAATTTCCTGCTTTATCGATTTCCGGCATAAAAAGTATGTGGTTCCATTTAAAAAAAATGAGTTGACCTTGAAATGACCTAAATTAGGTCATTTAGGACAAATTCAAGTTTACCACTGGATGTCCCCCTGTGAGCAAAATAACTTTTGTCTAAAACATTTTTTTGTAAAATCAACTGATTCAAAGTTATTTCGCCTGATAGATTAAAATGGGACACCCTGTATATGTCTATAATGTTCCACGAGAAAAAGGACCTTAAGGTCATGTTACACACCCACTAATTTATTACATTGGAGTGCAATGGAAAAATTCAAGGTCATCTAACATAACCTTAAAGGCAGAAAATTTTAGTTTATAAGTGATATATTTTAGTCATTATTTAATCTTGATTAAACGTTTATTTTAAATTATATAAAACCAAAATCAGTTTCTATTGAATATTTTGTATCTAATGAGAACATAAACATCAATGCTTTTTGATAAGAATTGATCCTCTATGTTTATTTTCAATCCAAAAATCACAAACATAACCTAAATTTTTTTTTGCCTCTAAAGTCCCATTTTTAATTGAATTTTGATATTACTTTCTCGTGTCTTTTTTCACAGTTAAATTTCAATTATCATTTAGGTAAAAAACAATTTATAATTAATAAGAATAAAAATAATAATATAATAATTGATGTTATTTATTTTAATAGAAAATATATAAATTTATTTAAAATTATAAACAAAAATTTTATTTAAAAAAGAAAAGGCACCGCAGTATATTTTTATTAGTTCATTATGGTTTCGTAAGCATATATTTGTGAAGAAGACGATTGATGGAGGACAAAAAATGTTGAATCACTTGGAATCTTTTAAAGTCAGTCTGATGTGTGTCTATTTGATTTTAAATGCGTCGAGTCACACGCTGATGCGATGCTCCTTTTATTCTCTTTTACTCTCGACATCATATATGTCTAGTATACATATATATGATACAAGCGAGATATCAATTTACAAAACTAGCAGACCCACAAAATATCCTAATTGAGCTTTTACACGGACAATTTCTCTTATATATCATTTTTGTTGTCATTAAAAAGTAGTTATTTGTATTTTATACTTTATAAACTTTCTAAAAAGTAAATTAGTTTATTTTTCTAAATACATGTACTTAGAAAAATAAACAATTTAAAAATGAAATTTTTTCGCACAAAAACAATTGGAAATATTAATAATAAAAAATAATTTTTCTTTGAATAAAAGAAATAATAAAGTTAATAATTAATTGAATTAATTATATTTTTATTTATTTATTTTTTTTTTTTTTGTAACATGTCACACCTTTAATTGAGAAGAGTGATTTGATTTGTAAGTAAGATTTAGAAGTATATATGTAGTACATTGTTGTTAAGGATGAGAAATCCGGGTGATTGATGACAATTTTATCTGATTTCAGACGAATGTTGGTCCAATTCTCGTTTGCATTAATCCTTACACGGATGTTGGGAATCCCTTGACTCTGACGAGTACGAGGGCTGTGCCATTGGCGCCCCAGTTAAATAGGGTTGTTCAAGAGGCCGTAAGGCAGCAATCAGAAACTGGTTATCCTCAGGCAATCATTCTCTCAGGTAAATGTCCCGATGATATTGAGTTAACAAATTCTCATCGAAATTTGAATTTTTTTTTTTTAAAGCGCAAAATATTCAGTAACTCAGTGAAAAAATTAATTTATTTCAATTAATTAATTAATTTTTTCACTATAAAATAACTATTATTAATTTAAAAAATTTTAGGAACCAGTGGTTCGGGTAAAACTTATGCCTCTATGTTATTATTGAGGCAACTTTTCGATGTTGCTGGTGGTGGTCCTGAAACTGATGCATTTAAACATTTGGCTGCTGCTTTCACTGTTCTCAGATCTTTAGGTTCCGCAAAGACTGCCACAAATTCTGAAAGTTCACGAATAGTGAGTAAATGGAAATTAATTCTTTAAAAGATAATGTTTCTTAATATTAAATTACAAACATTATTTTTAAACTAAATCTTAATTTTAATGAAAAAAGGGACACGATAAAATTTCATGACATTTTATTAATGAAAAAATTAAGTAATATAATTTCAAATAATTCGATTAGAAACACATGCCCTTAATATTATTACAAAAGTAGGAGGAAAAAATAAATAAAAATTAAATTTAACTACATTAAAGAAGTTACATATATTTTTTTAATTGTTACTAAAAAAAAAGGTTAAATAAAAATTATTTCATTATTCTAGGGACATTTTATAGAAGTACAAGTAACAGATGGAGCTCTTTATAGAACAAAAATTCACTGTTATTTTTTGGACCAAACGAGGGTCATTCGACCACTGGCAGATGAGAAAAATTATCACATTTTCTATCAAATGCTAGCTGGTCTCTCACATGATGAACGAGGTAACTATATAAAATCTTTAAAAGAAAAATTTTAATAAGCACTCTTAAATTCTTTAATGTTTTTTTTAAATGGAATTCATTGTACCGTTTCTCAAAAATTGTAACTTTAACTGCAGTAATATGTTAAAAATTAATATAAATTTTTACTATACTTTTACTACACGCATAGTAAAAGTAATAATATTAAAGATGTCAATTAACAATTTTATAAATATATAAAATTTAATTATATTAATAATTGTATATGATTTAAAATTTTTGTAGTTAAACTAAATTTGGAGGGGTACAATTTAAAAAATTTGAGATATCTGCAACAAGGAGATACGAGACAAGATGAGACTGAGGATGCTGTCAGATTTCAAGCCTGGAAAGCTTGTTTGGGTAAATTGAAATTAAAATTTCAATAACTAATTTTTATTTTTGCTCCCTTTACTTCAAATGAAAATATTTCTGCAGAAAATTCAGTTATTAAAGCTACGAAACTTGAATGATTTAAAAATTTATTAAACTCATTGACTAATGTACTAATAAAGTATGACCATTTTAATGTTTATAAATTCATAAGTTAAAAATAACTAACTATAAACTAAAATTAGTAACTTTTTACTAATAATTAGTTTTGTTTTTTTTTTACTAATTTCTGAAACAAAAAGTCAGCCACGATTTTACTAACAGTTATTGTTAACAAATTCAGATTCAGAGAGTATAATTAAACATTAAAAAAAAAATGAAACTTATAAAATGACATAAGTTTGAAAAATTATGATCTGTGATAATTAGAAGAGGGCGTGGTGTTAAGGGATGATACTAATAAATAAAAAAAAAATTGTAAATTTAGGAGTACTGGGAATTCCATTTTTGGATGTGGTTCGAGTATTAGCAGCTGTTTTAATTCTTGGAAACGTGGGGTTTACTGATGGCCCTGGAGTGGAGGTTGGAGTGATCGGAGAGAATGAGTTGGCATCTGTGGCGGCACTTTTAGGTGTTCCTCCGCCAGCTTTGTTGAGAGGACTCACCTCCAGGACCCATAATGCTCGTGGACAGCTTGTCAAGTCGGTCTGCGATGCCAATATGGTAATCACTATTACTATTCAACTTCAAAGAAAAGTATTTAAAGCCAACATTTAAAAAAAAAATTATTACAAAACAACATTTCACAACTATTAATTTTATAATTCCTAAATCGATATGTGTTTGCAATGAATTTCCATCTTTTTTTATTAATTATTTTTATTAATTTCAAAAAACGAAGGTCTTTTAAATTTTTGCTTTTTGTTTGTCCTGTATAGTCAAATATGACGAGAGATTCGTTGGCGAAGGCTCTATATTGTCGAACTGTTGCCACTATTGTTAGAAGGGCCAATAGTTTAAAAAGACTTGGTTCCACGCTCGGAACTCTTTCTTCCGATTCAAACGAGTCTGTTCATAATCAAGCTGAAGTCACCAGTCAGCATGCTTCTACTATTGGAAGTTCAGCAGGTATAATTAGGAAATGGCATCTGAAAATGAATGCGACATTTTAATTTCAAATATATAGAAAAAATTGTTTTTTTAAATTATTATTGATAATAAATGATAGGTTTCTTTTTTAATCTCAAAAATATTGTGAGTACTAAAAAGGACCAAAATGAAATGAAAAAATGTTTCCCTGATATTTCTTGCAACTTCACAATTTTGTAATTTTTGATCTTCCGAACAAAAAAAAAAAAAAATAAATAAATAAATGGGAAAACACAAGAAAAGGAAGAAATGAAAATTACTGAATTTAAAATTCTCGAGAAAATTCATTTAATACCGCAATAATATCAGCATTGACAATTTTTTTATAAATTTATTTTTTATTGTAAAATACAATATTGAGAATTATATAGAATATAACATCTGTGGAAAGAAGAAGGAAATTTATAAAGTACAATGAATATAATTGTTTTTAAGGTGGTACTGGTTCGAGAAGTATGACTGCTTTGAATAATGCAGTTAGACATGCAACAGATGGTTTCATTGGCATCCTAGACATGTTTGGATTCGAGGATCCAAAACCAAGTCAACTCGAGCATTTATGTATAAATCTTTGTGCCGAAACAATGCAACATTTTTATAATACTCACATTTTCAAAAGTTCCATTGAAAGTTGTCGAGATGAAGGCATTCATTGTGATGTTGAAGTCGATTATGTCGATAATGTCCCTTGCATTGATCTTATTTCATCTTTGGTAAGTATCAATTTATAAGTGATTCATTATTTTTGATCTTCTTTACTTCAATTATTTAACAAATTTTTTAACTAAAATTCTTCTCAAAATTAATTATTTTCAATAATTTTAATGAAATTCTTCACAAATTCAATTATTTTTTTAAACTATTTTTCAATTCAAAATTCTATAAAATTCAATAATTGTTTAAAATTAAAAAAAAAACAATCAGCAAATAAAATTAACAAAAATGTCAATTCAAAATTACTTGAAATTCAATTATTTTTAACAATTTCAACTGTAACTCTTACAAAATTCAATTATTTTTAATAATTTTAATATTTCTTTAGAAATTCAATTTTTTAAAAAAGTTTCAAATAAATACTCAAAAAATTGAATTGTTGTAAGAAATTTAAAAAAGAAAAAACTACAGCAGTTTAAATTTGCAGAAAATTTATTTCAAATTTAAAATCTTTTGCAATTAAATTATTTTATAAAAATTTAATTAAATTAAGTTATAATAAAAAAAATCGACTAAAACGCCTTTTTTTCGCCTTAAAGTCGATCCGAGGCCTAAAAATTTATTCCGTGAATATAGTTCTATTAATGCTATTTTTTTTACTGATTCATTTAATTTTCAATTTATTTTATTTTTATCGTTCAATTTATTTCTATTATACTTTTATTTATTAATTAATGTTTGAATAATTTTTTATTTATATTTTTTCTTTATAATTAAATTACTTAATTTTTTTCTTCAAATTGTAAATTATCAGAGAACCGGTCTCTTGAGCATGCTCGATGTTGAATGTTCAATACGAGGAACAGCAGAGAGTTACGTGGCAAAGGTAAAGGTGCAACACAAGCAAAATCCAAGGCTTTTTGAACCAAGGGCTGTTGACTGTCGATCATTTGGAATCCAACATTTTGCTGGAAGAGTCACGTACGATGCTTCTGATTTTCTAGGTAAAAAAAAAAGGAAAATTCATTAAGTTGTATTCTAAATATTCTGTTATATTAGGTACATTGAATAAAAAATGCTCTAAATTTAAAATTGTAAAATTTGAAATATTGATTTCTTCTCTTTAGATACGAATAAAGATGTTGTGCCAGATGATTTAGTGGCAGTCTTCTATAAACACACATGTAATTTTGGTTTTGCAACTCATCTATTTGGAAGTGAACTGAAAGCCCTTTATGCAGGCGATACTGTTCCTCGAGGAGTGAGCTTTAGAATATCTCCTACATCACACACTGATCTGTAAGTTTACTTTTCATCTAAAAAAATAGAGATATTTTTTTTGAATTTATAAATGAAAATATTTTTATTTTTCTAAAATACAATTTTTTTTTTAAATACTCTGTATATAGCAGGAAAATATAATTTAGAATCTTGTTAAAAAAAAGTTTAGATAAATTAAAATACTCGTGTTCGAAAGAATATTTATGAAAATTATTTATAAACATACGGTCAGAGTCCATTTGTACAAAGAAAATACAAAAAATTTGTGAAATAATTTGAAAAAATTATTTTTAATTATAAAAAAAGAAAAAATTGCTGAAAAATTTTCCAAGAGTTTTTAAAATAAACTTTTTACAGCTTGAATGGCGATGAGCCCATTTCAACATTGACTCAGGATTTTCACACACGACTGGATAATCTTTTGAGGACTTTGGTGCATGCAAGGCCTCATTTCGTTCGTTGCATAAGGAGTAATGCTTCAGAGACGCCAATGCATTTGGATAGAGGAGTCGCTATGCGCCAAATTAGATCTCTTCAAGTTCTCGAGACTGTAAATTTAATGGCAGGAGGTAAATGAATGTAACACACTCGTGAATAATTCTCGTGTATAAAATTTTACTTATTCTTTTTTTTTTTGTTGTTCTTATATAATTGTCAATTTAAAAAGTGTATTAATTATTTTATTAATTTTTTTTCAGGATATCCTCATAGAATGAGATTTAAGGCATTCAACGCTAGGTATAGACTGATAGCACCCTTTAAACAATTACGAAGGGCTGAGGACCAAGCGGTTGAAGATACAAAATTAATTTTACAAAATGCACAACAAATGAAGAGTAAATTTGGCGCAAGCACAAGTTGGGCCCTTGGCAAGCGACATATTTTCCTCAGTGAAGGTATTCGACAACAATTGGAAAATCTCAGATCTGAGACGAGAAGAAAAGCTGCTACTAATATTCAGGTGTGAATAATAAATATATAATAATTATTAATTTTAATAATTTTTAAATACTAATTTTATTTGTAGTTTTTAATTTAAATTTAATTGATAATAAATATTTCAATTCAATTTTTAATATATAGTTTTTGATTGTTATTACAGTCTACCTGGAGAGGTTGGCGAGTGCGTAGACGTTGGCCTGTTCGAAGAACAAACATGACTTTAGTGTCGAGTTTGGGTCAGAAGAAAAATTCTCAACCGCCATCAAGTAATACGGGCACTATTCAAAGAAATGTGACTCTTGGTTCCGTTACCGGAAATGGAATTCGTCCGAGACCTCAACCTATCACAGGAACACCACCTCCTGATCCTTCGGAAAAATGTGCTGATCAGAAAATGATTCAGCAAACTTGTACTCTCTTTGGATTGGATTTGGTAAATTTTTTTTTTTCGTTTCTCAAAAATATCTACATATATTCGATATTGTGGAAGGAAAAATTTGTAAAACTCGAAAATATATTTATGGCATTATTTTTTTTTTTATTTTATTTTATAGGAACGTCCTCCACCTGTTCCGCCAAGTCGATCTTATACTGTTACTGGAAATACGAAACTTGGGTATCCTCAGACGAGAGTAATGAAGACACCATTTCCTGGTAAATATTGATTACTATTTGGTAATAAAATAATTTAATAAAATATTTTTCATAAAAGAATTTTTAATTAGGAATACTTTAGTAATGTAATTAAATTTCAATAATATTAATAAAATAATATTGAAAATTTTTTAAACAAATATTGCTTTCTCATGGAGAAAGTATCTTATTATTAAAAATTTACGATTATGATTTTTACCAAATTTTTATTTATAAAATATACCTATAATTTTATTTTATTTATTATAATTATTAAATTTATTATTCATAAAATTTATTTATTCATTATTTTATTTATATTTTTTTTTATTAATTTTATTTATTTATCTCAAATTATCTCATTTATCAAAATTGTCCAATTATTATTTAATAAAATTGCAAAATATTTTTATAAACAAATTAAGAATTAGTAACAATTAAAATAAAACAAAAATAATTACCTCCTCCAACCATATTTTTTCAAACTTTGAAATTATTATCAAATATTATTTATTATTTTTTACAAGTAATTTTTTATAAATAAATTAGACTAAATTATAATTTGTTACTAATTCTTTTTTATTTTTACATAAATTTAAATATTTCTAATTGCTATAAAACCATAAAAAAAATGAGAAAATATGAATGATTATATAAAAGTTTCACACAGAAAAATAAACATTATGGTATGATACAATTTGACAATTGTTTTTATTTTAATTTTTTCCCAACCATATAAAATAAAGAAAATAAATATTTTCAAGCCTTTTACCATATATTTTAAAAAAAATTAAAGTATTTTGAATTTCGTTTTAAATATGAAGAAAAAATAAATTTTTTATTTTGTTATTATTACGGAGAAAAATATCAAGACTTTTTATCAAAAACACTATCTATACTTATTTCGTACGCGCTCTACCGTCAGTTTTTGGTACGACAAAGCACTGTAGTTCTTTTCAGTGTTCTGCTAGAAAGTCCTAATATTTTTCTCCCGTGTAACTTGATTTTTAAGAGAGAAGAAAATAGAAAAGTAGAAAAAAATTGTCTTTTTTTTAACGTAGAAAACAATTGCATTTATTTTTAGAAGGAGGCGAAGGTGAGGTCGTTCTTTTGAAAGGTGAGACAGTTCTTGTGGTTGGAGCTTCTTCAAGACGTGGGCACTTACTTGTCGAACACAACAACATTACGTTACACGTGCCTTACCAGTTCATGGAATTGAAACCATGCAACATTAATGTTTAAGTGTTATTTATTTTTCTTCTCTTCATCTCTAATACAAAGAAAAAAAAAGTTGATTGGAATTATCCAGTTTATGTAAAAAGAAAAAAGAAAGAAAGTTAAACATTTTTTTTCTTCTTTTTTTTCATTTTTCTTTTGCTGCCGATGAATTATTGCCATAAAATAGTTTTTATACAAAATAATCGTTCTATATAATATATAAATATATAGAACGTCGTATATTCGTTCTGAATTGAAAAATTAGGATTAAAAAAAAAATACAAAAAATTTATATTTTATGAATGTGGTGAAAATGTTATTATTATATTATTATGAACGCTCAGGTAATTGATTGAAAATCATCGCGTCTTTCCGTGAGAATTTCACAAATTTGTTTTATGATCTTTTCAATTTGTTTTGTTTATTTTTTTTTATATGTCCTTTGTTATAAATCTCGCTCAAAACCCAAGTTTTGTCTTCCATTTTATTTAAGGTGTAGCTTTAAGTAGATTTTTAAAGAATATTATAAGGGAAAAATCACAATATTCGTGGAGAATGACATTTTTATATATGTATATTTTTTTCTTGTTTCCTTTATTGTAGGGTCTGTCAATTTGTATCTTATTTAGACGTTTGTGATTTTTTCCCAGAATAGTAAATATATATGTGTGTAGCATTGAAATGAATCGAGAACATAAAAATTGAATAGACAGATTATACAGAGAATGCCAATAACATTCCTTATATTAAATATATATACCGGTGATGTGTATTTAGTGGGTGCTACAACGAATTTCATATTTTTCCTGTATTTCTCTTGTATTATTATTATTTTCTTTTTTCTACTTCTTTTTAATTTTATTTCAATTTTTTTTTTTTTGTTAAACCTTTTTCGTTTATATTATTTTCTTTCCCTTGAATTTAATTTCAAATTTTTACTTCATTTTGCCATGTAATTTTAAAATGTTGAATTTAATTTTTTAATTATTTTGATTATTACTATTACTATTACTAAAAAAAAGAATGGTAAATTAAAGATTTGTAATTAATTGGTAAATAAAAAAGCATAAAAGGTACCGGTTCTGAAATTTACCTAAAAGGTATTATAACAAACAGTATTTTCTCATCTGTCATTGAATTCTTAGTGCCAATCGCTAGAAACAAATTTTAATTCATAATTTATGTCTATGAACTCAATAATATTGTAATTTGTCATTAATATAATTATCATTTACAAATTATTATCATCATCGTCATAATTATAATTTCTCCGTAATTACATAAATACGAAGGTAAAGGTGAAGGATTTGTAGATACGTGCATTCGACTAATTGTAGGCAAATCCTATTTCTCTCTCTCTCTCTCCCTCTCATATTTTGAATGCATTATTACTCTCAGAAGTAATATATTTGCGCTTTCGAGGGCTTTGAAAAGCTCAAGAGATTATTTGTACATACAAATTTCACGATACGTGTTACCTACATTCGACGAAACATTATATTTCCATTCCGAGAAAATCTATATCAAAGCGAATTTTACTTGATTCTAAATAAATTAAAAACAATTTGTTAAAAACATAAATTGTGCTCTTATATATTATTTTTGAAAAATTTTTAAATTTTAATGCAAATATATTTTCACTGTATATGGAATCAAAATTTAAATTAACGAGAAATATTTTTCGTTGATGAAAATTAATTTGCTTTGATAATGAAAAAGATTCTAATTGTTCAGGTTACACAGAATCATTTGTAAATAAATTATATCCATTTATCTATTATTGGTCAATATATTTTTTAAGATTTAATACGATTTTCTTCATTTCCTCATTTATCAAATACCTTTAAATATATATCAAAAAATCAATGATAAACTCAATTTTAAAATTTTTTTCAATTTTTAATTAATCTTTTTACACCTTGAAAAATGATTATATCTTTCTCGTAGAAAACTAATAATTTTTTTTCAGCCCCGCTCAAATGGAATTCGATTTTCAAATGCAGACTTTTGATTATCCAGTTTCGAATTGAAGCAATTTGAGCTTTTCTCTTTTGAGTTTGTCATAAACTTGTGAAAATAGTTTGATCCGAACTTTTACAGATATATATATATATATATATATATATATATATATATATAGACGAATTCCAGTTGGTGCAGTGATGCGAGTGACTCGCGACAAATAGCAAGGCGAGAGTGAAATGTCAAGTCAAGCCAGTTTTCGCATATATGGGAGCCACTCGACTGAAGCAGCGACTTTCAAACGTTTCAGATGTTTGCGACGTCAAAGGCGGAAGAAGTCGCGCCGTGTGTGTGTCTTCTCTCGAGTACGACGATACCGACCGTAAAACGGAAATGATGAAATTACGAGCGGTAGTACGAAGTTATAAGCACGCCTATTTCATCCTATGCATCGTCAATCCTCTTTGCGGGGCGAGAGAAACATTCACTTCCTTTCGCGAACGGAAGACAACGTATGTCGCGCTTCCACGTATGTATTATAAGATAATGGCATATACATATAATCACTTCAAAACAATATATTTTGTCCCATAATAATTATTACAAACGATAATAATGTAACATACTAACGAGAATATTCAACTATTGTTATTATTACTGACAACATATGTGTGCAAGTGCAACATTGCATTATGCGATAATTTATTATATCAAAATAAACCAAACTTTATTAAGGAGGATGTCAAGCTATCCAAAAGTATTAATATAATAAAATACGTTTTTGAATATCTTTGGATTCAAAAACAATTTTTTTCACACAGAAAAAAAGGTGGGTAAAAAGTTGTAAAGATAGAGGATAAAAGTCGTTAGGATACAGGGTAAAGGATAAATTTGTGATGGATAAAAATGTTACTAAAATATGACTAGAAAAATGGATGTCATATTTGAGTAAACTGTCTAATTTTAATAAAAATATTAGTAATTTTACACTTAACTTATTATTAAATCCACAAATTTTATATAAATAACTAATTGCACGTGGAAATATTTTGCCTATAATTATTGTCTATTAATAAAAATATCTTTGACTAATATAACTGACAGCTGACGACAGTGCGTAAATAATCAGAACTGGGAAATTACAACTCAACGTCTGCATTGTTGCACGAAAGCAGAGTTGGGTAGTAACTGAATTTTTTGTGCATATTAGGCTGTGTCAGTTCATCGAGATATTTCGAGTTCAAGATATGACGTCAGAGGCCTGGAGAGACAACAAACAGACGACACAATGTTATTGGGAACGGTGGTCTAGTAACAATCTAGTAACTTTGACCCATTCTCTCCCTCCATTTTGTTTTTTCTACTCTTTCTAACCTATTAATTGAAGAGAGACAAAGAAAGAAAATGGAGGGAGAGAATGGGTCTCCACCAGATGGCGTATTGCAGTTTAGCCGATCCCAATTCTTACAGGGAAGAAAATTTGTTTCCACTTTCATCAATTTTATTACTTACTTACTTGTACAACCAACAAAATAATCAATATAATAATTAATTAAATCTCATAGTATTCATAAGTTGGAAAAAATAACTGCAATAAGCTTTTTTATGAGCTTTGTTTACATACTTGTATATCGAATATAAGTATCGATCTAAGGTATGAATAATATCGACATGGAAAATCGATTTGCGCAATGCAATATTCTATTAATACTTTTATATTAAAATTTCAAAACTTCTTATTATTTAATTTTTCGTCAATTTAAAATTTGATTAAAGTAAAAATAAGTAGCCATAACTTTTCTACAATTTATTTTTCAAATGTTTAACAAAATTTTCACCCTCAGTTTACCCCGAAGCCCCTAGGCACTTCGCACAACCACAGCTACGCCACTGCAAACAAGACAGTCATACTGATAAAGATGATTAAGATAATAATGTTGAACATAATAATTGTTATCATCATGTTAATCCAGAGGATCCAAAATGATCAAGATAAGCACGTTAATCAAGATGATTAATAATGATAATAATGATAATAATGATCATGATTATAATAATCAATATGGTCAGTTTGATCAACATTATCATCTTGATTATCTAAATATTCATGACCATCATAATTAATATGATCATCTGAATTAACATGATCTTAATGATCTAGATAATTATCATTATTATAATGATCAATATGAAAATCTTGATCATCTAGATCATCAGGATAATCATGATCATCTGGGTTATCTAGAGCATTTAGATCATTGTTATTATCATAATCATAATGATCAACAAAAATTTGAAAATATACCTATTAAAAATTTAAATAATAGGATGAATTTTTTAGTGACAAGTTGTAAAGTAAATCTCATGTATTTTTTTTAACATTGAAAAAAACTGTATTAGCTAAATTAAATTTATTCAAAAATGGTGCACAATTTTTGTTATTTTAGAAAACATGAAGCTTTGTCGATTTCAATATACTTTCAAAAGACACAAACCTGTCAAATGAGAGTATAATCGATTGGATGATGCAATTACTCCGAAAGTAAATTACATTATTTTAATGGCATTTTGTCGATATAATGACGATAAATCTGACATTCTTAAAGTTTTAACGAATACCTGTCACTTGGATTTTTTGTCATTTTTTATTCATTTCAACTTTTTTTTTTAATATACCTAAGAAAATACGAATTTATTTTTTTTTATAGTTTCAAGTTATTAATACTATACATAAATGTTACATTAATCATAATAACTTAAGTTTATATTATCTTATAAAGAGTAACACAAGATAATTAATTATTTTCTAATAATAATAGAAATGATTTATTATTATTATTATTGATTAAAATTTAATAATTATTTAATTTTCATTATTTATTATAATACAGTTATAAATTAATGTTTAATTAATAATTTTAATGAAGTTAATTAAATAAAAATTAAATTAAACAAAAAGTTTAATGAATTTTTTGAGAAATATTTTTAAATAGAAGGAAATTATGTAAAATATATATAGGATAAATTTTTACTTGAGAATTTTGGTTAAATAATAAGCAACGTACCTGATATTAAGACGCTGGAATTAATTAATACGTGACATTCGATCCCCGGGAATTGCAAACATATAGCGATATCCTTCTCAATTTCTCATTCTCTCTTTGGTCAAAGGTGAAAATAACAGAATACCCTGAAAACTGTCTAATGAAATTGAAACCAAGGCTCTGAGGTTTCTCAAAGGATTCTATAAATGATCAAACACTAATCACGTTAATTAAAATAGTTTTGTTACGTAATAAATTGCTTTTTTATACCCTTATAATTGGGGCAATCAATTACACAGGCCTGCAAAATTTCATTTTAGTCTGTTACAAAAAAAGGAGAAGGTGATTCTTGTATAGATTTTTTCATGCTAAATCCGAATATGACCTCCAAAATGGCCCATCACGTCAGGATTTTTTGTAATATTAGCTTGAAGGGCCAAAAAATGTCCATTTTCGTGAATTTTTTGTAACTAACAAAATTTTTTTTTTATTTTTCGAAATTGTATCGTATAATACTACCCATATTTGCAAATTATTTTATGATTTTTTAAAAAAAAGTTATGTACATTTAAAATAGTAAAATTTACTATTTACCAAATTTTTTGTCCTTTTTTTGAAAAAGAAAAAAAAAATTACAAATAATCTTTAACCAAAAGAAACAAAAGTTAATGTAGTGGGTTTTTTTTGTAAAAAACTTTAATAGTGAAAAAAATATGCTATTAAAAATTATCATTGTTTTATGTTTATATACGTTGTTTTTGTTTTTATTAAATGGATGAAAAAAGAGAAGGTATATAATAGTTTTTTTTTTATAAAAAATATTACGTTAAAAGCTATATGTACGGCAATAACAGGTCTCAATCTTTTTGGGCCTTAAAATGCTTTTACAACCGAACTGACCAGCATACTTTTACGGCGAGTGCAGCTGCACCATTAAAATCTTCGAAACGTTGACATTATATGGCTGGTGCAGGCTGTTAACTCCCATGGAGGGATGGTGCCAGCGTTATCATCAACTAAATTATTCCAGGACTGCGTCCGGTAGGCTTTACCGACGTCTATTTTGCAAGCAATGGCTCTTTCATTTACGGACTTTAATCCTCGATGATGCTTATCCATTTTTTATTCAACTCTTCTCGCTAAAAAAGGAACATTATTATTATATCCGATAGATTTTTTCCAGTCAATACCATTAAAAAATGAATTTATTTCATTATCTTCAAGTAAAGAAAAATTATATTTATAAGAATCTCATATAGAAAGTACCTACATATTTATTTGGTTCAAATAAAAAATTTCTCTTGTCATATAAGGACTATTTATAAATTATGCATCATTTTTTTGAATATTAAATAATGACTATTAAATATTCGAAATACATTAACTGTCAAAATGAAGAGACCACTTGCGGGAATCTACAATAGCGACTGGCGGTAAAATAAAAAAAAATAATTACCGACCTATGGGAATCTTCAATGCCGACTGACCGAAAAATCGGAAAATAATAATATAAAAAATTATCGACCTACAGGAATCTACATTGCTGACTGATGGTGAAACCGGAAAATGAAAATATAAAAAATTATACTGACTTACAGGAATCCTAATTGTCGACTTATGATAAAACCGGAACATGAAAATATAAAAAATTACCGACTTACAAAAATCTACAATGCCGACTTCCTTTATGCCGGTAATTTTTTATATTTTCATTTTCCGATTTTACCATTAGCCGTAAATGTAAATTCCTGTAAGATGGTATTTTTTTAATTCTATTATGCACACTAATGTTTGGGGATAC